AACCATTCAGCTACTGATTTTAAAGAACACCTCAAGTGGTAATGCCTTGAAATACTATGTGAATAAGATTTTGTATGGTTGAATTATAACACAGTCGACCTGCCTATATCACATTTGATATCTTCATCATTCAGTTAATGTCGAAGTATGCATACACAGCGGATTCGTCACGTCTGTAGTACATCACACTCATGGACTCTAGCAAGAATATTTCCTGACCTAATAATCAACACTCTTCTCGCATTCATGTCAGCATCCCAACTACTGAATATAGTGGTACTCAATTTCTAATGACTGATCAAATCTGTTTTCAGTGTTGATTATCTCAGCTGTCTGAGTTTTAGGTGAGCATAAACTATATTCTTCAAGAAGAATCGTGCATAAAATTAGCCGCTACTTGTTCAACAACAAATGAACCAGGAAAACATAAATGATTCATGTTCACTTCATTTGTTAGAAGTGGAAATATATCCACTCACTTCCAAAATTTGAAATTTTTGACATGTAAGTGGTCATATCAGCGAAGGGATTTCCTTACGTATGTTAAAAATTCTGTTTAGCACAAAGCAATTGAAAAGAGTGACAGTGCAAAGTTAAAGTATACACGATTGTATCCACATTAACCACATATAAATTAATGTGATATAGAATCATATCCCTATCTGACTCTAGTCTTTACATTATAGGGCTTGAAGCACTGCCGCTTTTCTTATTAGATATATAGATGGTGTGGAAATAGGAGATAATCCAAGGTATACAATGAAAAATTGTGTTGGCGATAAAATAACACGTTTAAAACAAACAGGAAGATGTTGAGTTTTTGATGTCGAGACAATTAAACAAGTATTAAATTATAGGGTCAATGTTAAATATATCTATGTTTACAATGAGGAATGTTTTTGAAATAAATCCCTCCCTGAAATACAGGAATAAGAAACAATATCTGTATTCCGTATAGCAATATTTTATCTTGATAAAAAAATTGTAATTTTCTTTTGATCTTTAAAACATCAAGTGGTCCAGTAAAATGTTCTATATAACATATGTTAATGTTCGTTTCATTAATTAGTTACTTATTTATTTAGGTTTTATTCACTTGATAAAAATACCAGTCTGCATCATTCTGCAAACGGTGTACACTTTGCGTTATTCCAGTTCATTTAGGGGATTAAATACGTGAATTTTTTAAGATAATTGATTGCTGTAAACCCAAAGGAAAGAACATATTTTCAGGATGCGAACTAGCATATATATATATATATATATATATATATATATATATATATGAGCATGCATGTATACCAATGTTCAAAACGCACAGGAAAAGTCGTTTCTCATTTAAAACAGTTAAGATGCAAATAAACACCAATGGTAAGTGATGAGATTTCTGGTAATGTTAGATACCATTGACCATATAATAAAAACAGCAGAAACATAGGTGACTAACGACGACTGAGTGACAAACAGTGCATAGTGGAAACGTAGATTATAATAATTAAAATGTGAAGTAATTGTTTACTATGTTGAAATTGTCCTGAGGCAAGAAAATATCAGAAACTTAATACTCACAATGTTGTTGCAAAACTAATAAGTTGCAAAGGTGACAAAAAGTCTAGAATCCATGGAGTCATACAAAAATGTCTATGATTTCGTCAAAAGTAAATCGTTTGTACATAACATTTTGATCAACGGACTGTTCTTCTAGAGATATTACTTTTGTCCCTATTGATAATTGTAAGCGTTTCAGTTCTACAGACGGATTTATATGTTACTAACCGTTTTACTATGGTTTCAGACTTAGCATAAGTGATGTTTGGTTTTATGAACGGTGGCTGAATTCTATCACTGCTTACAATTTCCTGTCAGTGATAGCATTCAACCATAATAACTTCTGATATGGTAACTAATTTAAAGGTTCGTCATAATGAGATTTCAATTGTCCGCTAATGTCATCACTAAGAAAAAAACACGATTCCGATCCAAAGTGTGCCAAAGTACATAGACTTGATTTCAGTGTTGTTGTAGGGACTGAGGTTGTAATGTAGTAATAAGGTGGCGCAGCTGTGACCCATAGTCTAGTTTAATGGAAATTATTTTGCTAGATTATTTATAAAGCAAGACTAAGTTAGTTCCACAAACTTCCAAGTTATCAACCTCCAAGTGTAATAATGGTCCTCAGGACACCACATTCAGACATTCAGAGTTCGATGGTAATTTCGTTACAGTTTCAGCAGATGTGTCATTGGTGGAGGTATAAAGGTATGTGGTCCACTCTTGAATACGTCAAAGTTATGGATAAAGAGATATTAAGCATAACCATTTGAAGGCTTAATCAAGTATTAAGATTGCGATTTAGTTTCTTCACATCTTCACATGTTTCCTGCAAATACGCTATCTCTACAATATCAATATATGCACTTTCTATGGCGCTCATGTATATTCGAGATAAAGCGTCAGGTGCCTCATTTTGATTCCCGTCAATACACCTTATGCCGGAAGTGAATTGCGAAATAAAGTCCAAATACCAGTCGATTTTATAAGAAACGTATGGTTTGTGAATAGTGCAAAAGTGTGGCCTTCGGAAGGTTCTGAAATGTTTGGAAGCCAAATAAATGGCTATCGTATCGTTACTGCGCATTATTTAGTTGTTTTGAAAAGGATAATGATTCCCGTTGACTATGAACACATAACTATAAGATTAAGGCTGCAGAAACATCACTGTTAATAGTACATCTGGATCGTGATGAGAGAGGACCTTCATAATTCAACAGCAAGCTTCCGTTCGCAATATATGTCAAGTACGCTATTGGGTCATTCGGAGTACTCTTGCTCGTCTTTGCAACAGATACGTTAGTGGCTGAGCTAGTTTAGCAAAGTTAGGTATAAAACGCCGATAGAAATATGCTAGCCCAAAGAATCGGCATAGCCTTCGAAATAAATCTGGAATAAGCTATTCTTCAGTTGTGTCTTCTTCTTGTGGGACCACTCTGAATTCTTTAAAATACACCTTAAACCGCAGGAACTGTAGTCATCTCTTTCCTAATTAACGTTACTGTGGGTTGGTTGTTATACCACATTTACTTATCTGTTTATAAATTGTTCTTTTTCAGTCCATTTTGTTACTAGTAAGTCATTTATATATGCAATAACAAAAGGTGGTGCATAAACTAGCTTATTTACAAATCTTTGGTGGCGTTCAGCAGCAGCTGTCAGTTCAAATGTCATAAAAGTAAATTCGAATAATCCCAAAGGAGCAATTACTGTAGTTTCAGGGACACCTGTGAGTTTCACGGGAATACTCTAATAAGCTCAAAGATCATTTTATGAGAAAATATTCACTTTTATCATGGAGTTTATAAAATCATGTTTGTGAGGAATAAGTTATCTTTCGGTAACCGTCTTATTATTCAACACTTTGTGATCGGCACGAGATCGCTTTTAATTCGATGTCATTTTTGAAAACGTGAGCAGGCCGAATGATAATGGGATAATGGAAAGGCGTATAACTTCCAGTTCCAGAAGCTTATTGAATAACTGCATGGATATATACGGTCTTTCAAGATCTAAGCCTCAAGGTTATGACGTTGCTGGCCGACGTTTAGTGACAATATAATGCAGCACTGTCCGTTTCATCAAGGACTTCATGCAATCCGCTTGCTTGGTCTCAGGAAGTTTCCTCAGTTGATCTTCAAGATCATGAGAGTCGGTTGCTGGAGATAGTATCAAGTTTATTGTTTCTGTGTCAGTAAGATTATCTGAGATCAAATACTCATCATTACGCTAAACCAGTGTGCATCAGCTAGTGTCGGTAAAAAGATCTTAGTATTTAACGGATATTTAAACGCTATTACATGTCGAAAACTAAGGGGAATTTGGCGTAACCAAAGCTGACAGAGTAGACAATTCTAAACGTTTTAATAGACTTTTTATATGTCATCTAAGTTGTGAAGGTGTTCTGTCACCACGCTACAAGCAACCTCGCAGTTAATCTTCAGCCTACTGGTAGGATGAGAAGGATATTTATCACTTTCTACTTTGGAAAGCTATGAGGCGTTTGGGTGCGGTTATATCAGCATCTTCCTACGTCTTTCATCAACATTTGGTACAGTAGAATTTTTGTAGCCAAACCAAGTGTTTTTAGAGGCCAGATGTTTGGTCACCAAAAACTTTTTCTTGACAAAAAACCCACAAATGTGGACCACTAGACATAAAAATGTTTACAGGAAGATTACTGATACCCACAGACTATAAATTCCAAAGCTTCTGATTACTAGAGTTCAGATACATAAGAATAGTGTATCAAAGTACAATAATGTTTGAAACGATATAAATAGGAGGATTACAGTAATATCAAGGCATAAGTGCATACCACAGAGTAGCTGAATATTTCTTTGGTAAATATCCCAAATGAACACAGAGACCAGTCGCATAAAGTAGGTTTATGAAAACGTAAGTGCTAGTAATGCTAGTAGACTATGAATAGATAAACTTCTTAAAAACATTGTTTCATGAGGGTAAAACCACTGTACTGGGCCCATACGTGACTTCCATCTTTATATTACAGAATTCATACCACAGTCACTTTTCCTAATATCTCAAGCACTGCTGAACAACCTGGGCCGCACAGTGTGAAAACAGAAGATAATGTGATGCATAGAACTGAAGGTTGTATTGGCCATAAACTGAAATTTCAAAACCAGCAGGAAGACTATGAATTCTCAATAACAAAACAATTGAACATGTATAATATGAATGCACAGTTGTATAGGAAGGCGTGGGATACATCAGTTCATTCTGTACTCTTTAGTGAGACAAACACTAGTTTAAATATATACATTATTGCATGGTACTACAGGCACACAAATGTTCTTTTAGTTCATACAGTTAATCCAAATTAGACAAACATAAAGATAATTTCAGTACTGATAGCTAATTCTGGTTTATAATTATTAAATATATTTTGTATCTAGGAGCAAGTAAAATGCAACCATTCTCTCTGGGTTCCATCTGGCCTCTGTAGAAGCGTAGGTTTCAGGAATTCAAAAAACCAGCTGCACCTACAAAAGAAGAGTTTACCTTATATAAACGCATTCATTATTTTCTACTCCATTAGGAATAGTAAAGGCTTTAACAAATAAACATGTAGGATAAAGTTGTTAATCAACTAAAAGTCAATAACTAACTCAAAACGGTACTCACAGTAAAAATAAGCAATTATAAATTCGACCACATTGATATCTATTCTCAGTTACACGCATACAAATAAGTCAAAATTGTAAAGGTAACCAGTGAGCCCCTCAATTCGGTGAGTACTATTCGAAATGACAAATCAGTAAAAACACTAACGCACTCACAAATTCACACATTCCAAAATCCCATACTTCACTCAATTAAACAGCAAAAATATTACTCAAAACTAGACTATTTACTGACAGCAACATATCTCCTCAAAATCAACACATCCTCATTCACAGCCATCCATTCACACATTATCATCCAACTACGCTACACAACCATCATGTCATGCAGACAAGGACACTCACTATCTCATACACCACACATTGATACAATCTTCAGCAGAAAACTAATTTCATTGGCAAGCGAATATTCACTAGATTAACACCAACTGAGTAGTCAGATAGAAACATGAACAAATGATCCATCATTCCGTCACATTGTACAACTCAATATGACACTTTGCTTTCAAGACGTGTAAACATCGAATCGATGGAGAGAATTTATCTAGACTTAGCCACATCCCAGTCATAAACCTGAAATGCACAACTTCACATCATTCAAAATGCCTCCTGCATGCCACGCAATAATATCCCCTCCTCCCTCCACCCATAAAACTCTTTTTCGAAATGTTGACCGAAAACTACAATAAGTTCAGTAATCATTTTATGGTTTAGCTGAAAACTTAGAAAAGTGCAGATAAATTACTAGTCAATGCTTGACATAAATACCAATAGGAATTTCGTTTTGCTAGCTGTTCCATGCATACTCTTCATAGATATGTGTATTAACTGCTTTCATCAACAATCAGTGCTCTCATTTACTTGAAATCAGAGTGGAGATCTATTGCACTCAGCAAAAAGAACAAGATCCGGATTTTAAACACTCATTCACTCAAGTCAGTGCAACTATAGGGTTCAGAAACTTGACACGTCACGAAAAGCATTTCCAACAAACTACACACATTCATCAACAGCTGCCGACTATGCTCACTCCACACTGAAGATCGGATCAGATGGCCAGAATAAGAGAAATAGGCAACAAGGAAATCTCGCTGGCTGGCTGGCTGACAATGAACCAAACAAGAACCCATAGTCCAACAAATATGCAGAAGAAGAAATTGGAGATGGATTGGATTATGAATATACTGAGAAGACCGATTGGCGACATCACACGTCAGACCAGGACGTCGAGCGAAACCCGTATGGTAAACGACGAGTTGAGTATCTGAGATGAGGGTGATATGGAGGATGTAGTGTGAGGAAGAAATGAAAGTTGGTGGGCATTGGTGGAGTCAGGTTGAAGAGAGTGCAGAGAAGAGAGTGAAATAGAGAGGTGCAACTGAAGCCGTATGTTCCACTAGGAACCCAAGGGGAAAATAATAATAAATAATAATAATCAGCAATCAGTGGTGTCTGTCGGGAAGGTGATTGATGTATCGAGAATATCAGTAAGTTTCTCATAGGCTTAAGTGCTTCAGTGGCTTAGAACATCTAGACGGTAAGTATTCAAAGTGATTTATAACGTATAACAAAGTATTTTGGCTAGAGTTTAACAAAGATGTCTGTGTTACAAACCTCTTAGTGGAATCAGTAAATAAACTTCTCCTTGGATAATATTTGAGTATATAGATCAATAACCTGAAGTCATAATACATATTATTTATTATATTGGATGGGATGTGGTGATATTTTTGAAGTGTATAAATCACCCTATTATTAAAAAACTGTCACACTTTTGAAGTTTAGAGTTGGAGGCAAATAACTTCATCATAAAGTATGAGTTCAATGCAAGTATGTGCAAATATGTGGATTCATCTTCAATAATTCCTTGTTTTTGTGGTGAAAGGAGTGTGAAAGAGACCGTAAAACAAAACCTTGTGAATGTAACGTCTTATGGTTACAAGAGTGTTTTTCACATGAATATTAAAATATAAGTTGAATATTACTACAAACTGCCTTTTCATCAAACGTTTATGGTGCCTATAAATACCTGAAGGAAACACCTGTCATCATTTGACATATTTGAAAACTGTACTACAAATTGGCGATTAGCTCATCGAACATAGAAGATCTACTGTCAGGTTGAATGGATCTCTCAGAAATGCACCAACAAGTCATTTTGTTGTGAAGTGAATTGAGTCCTACTGTTGAATAAGTGCATTCCTCAAATATGAATATTTTGTGGAAAATTCGTTTGTTTGAAATAGTGAAGATGTGTGAAATAACGTTTTGAGAAGAAACTGACTACCAAGGTTAATGCCAGTGACAAGCATAAAATTGAATCTAGTGCTATCATGCTATCAGTTGGCACTATTCGAAAACTAATCAGGTTTAGATCAAGGAAATTCTTTTCGGCTTTTCACATCTCCAGTCCTAATGATATCTAATTTACTCCATCTAACAATGATTCACTAGGATTATACATTCAATTTCTGATATTTTCTTGAGCTATAAAGTATTAGTTTATTAAGGCCAATGGAAACCATTTTATGCCTGTCCAAACTTGTCAAGGTTGGTTAACCTCAACATTGAGAAAAATAGTTCACGCATGAAGACTTCCTCATTAACAATCATCTTACTATGATTTCTCATTTGAGCCGATGAAGAAACTATTTTCTAGTGTAAAAAACATTCGACACAGTAATAATTAATCATTGAACTCAACAGATACATTGCAAATTTTATTTGCTTGAGCCTCTGTTTCTCCCCAACAGGTAAATGAAATAAACCCAATACTTATTCATAGAATACATGATCGTCCTACAATATTACATCAACAATAATATAAGCATATACTGGTTTATCCTATAAAAGTGCCCTCAGTCTCTGAATTTATACCTACATGAAACGTCACTGAAAAAGTGCCAGTTTGAAAACCTTCAGTGTACTATGGCATACACAGAGTTGTAATAGGAATATATATTATTACTGAACAGATTGAGAAGTTCGAACACACTCAGACTGATTTGTAGACTTCACCAGTCAGATGAGAGTGATCTAAGCACCAGTTGGCTGTTTCGCTTTTCGGGAGTGATCCAGTTCACCTGTGGTGTGTCAGGACAAATTCACTCTGATCTGGCTAACGAAATGCTACAGATCAGTCTGAGGTATTTTTAACTACTCAATGGTTCGTTTGCGGTTTACTTCACTAGTTCATGACACTGTTGTGTCAAAGATCACAACCTGTGATCTTGGTTGATACATGGTCACTAGCAGAAAACCTCTTGATATCAAAGTCGAATAGTTGGAAAGTTACTTAGTTGTGAAAAGTGTCAAGGTGGACAGTGCGTTTTGTTAATCATTTGAGAATTGATCATCTTATTCTGGAAGGGATTTCTTTCTTTTTCATCCACTTAAAAACATTTCCTAAAATTCATGTAAATGAAAAGTCATTGTAAATTACTCGAAAATAATTTCATTGTTTAGTCGGTACCAATAAAGATCCCATTATCTATTTGTACTCCTTTGAAATTGTCACTGTTACATAAAATATTGGAATATATCTAAGTCTTGTGTCATATATGTGATATATTCAAGAAAGAATAATTTTTAAACTCCTCTATTTTATAATGAGTATGATAGCACAAGCTTATTGTATACAATCCGGTGTTTATAGCTTAACCCCACTATCTTGAGATTGGCAACAACTTTGAAAGACCTTAACTTATATAAACTGGGCTAAACAAATTAGGGATAATGATGAGAAATACACTAGTCACTATGAGAATTCATAAGGTGATTAAGACTATGGGGATTATGATTGATGAGTGAATAAGTATAGAAAATTGTAAACTAATCCACCATAATGAATCTAACTATATAGTGATGAATCTACAGCTTACCAAAGGACTGCTTTTTTGCTGATTTCTTGATGTAAAGCTCGATTCATCAACCCATTGAGGTATATTTCCCAATTCCATATTCATTTCTTCACTTGACATCATACTTTCGACTGGAATTTCACCCGACTCTGTAATAAACAATAAGTGAATTCAGTATATGGTCAAATATTTGTCCCATTATTACCAATTTTCCAGGCATCTGTTAAAGGTATTAATGAACAAAAGACCACTGAAGATAATGTGAAGAGAAGGCATAAAGCAAGACAATTGCTCATCATATAATTGATTGTGAATGTTTTGGAAAGGTAAGGAAAGCTTTACTCAGTGATAAGAATAAATGCTCATGAATTGCATTTATTTATATGATAAGAAATTATCGTAATTCACTTTTATTCTCCCATGATTGGTTATTTTTTCTGATCACACTTTGTAACCAATCATAAATGGGGCATATCTAGTGTGTGAGAAGTAGTGATACAACCTGGCTACTGAAACATACGTAGATGAAGTGATGCTCAAACTCTAGACCCATTGGTTGAAAGTCATCTTCTTCAAGCAATATCCTGCACAACAACATAGAACCACTGAACAAAGTGATACCTAAACCAATTTTTAATGTTTTACAGCAAATATACACACTTTTTCATCAACAGATACCTTCTTTCTCTCTCCAGTAATGATCATTGTAGCTTCCCTGCAAACTGTTTGCCTTCCAACAACTACCTCTCATCCCTTCTGTGAACAAGTTTCAATGTTATCCAGAAAATGTCATCAATCAATATTGAATAAATCCTACTGTGCAGTAAAACAAATATCATAGCACTACATAGATTATAGATAGTGTTTTAAACAATTCAAGTAGGATATTATTCAAAATCTTTGTGATGCGCCTTAGAAAAATTAGAATTGTTTGGAGATCTGCATTTTTGTTTTGGGTTTATTATCAATTATCAGTTGATGATACCAAACAAACAAAATGAAACTGACTACTTTCCAGCTTTCAAGCAAATTATGAAGAATAAGAGTAGAAAAATGTTTTCAATGAGTTATTTGTATCTTTCAGGATCTCATAATCGTTTACATGTTGTTTATTAGCCATATTCCAAAGTACCTAAGAAAACATAACAATCAATAATGATAAGTCAAATTTATTCTACTTCATATTGTACAGCTATGATAATAGTGAAACAAAATTTAGTCAGTTGTTCTCAAAATTCATTTTCATCCGAATCCACATTGAATTTTGACTACCTCACTTCATTTATCATTTCTCTGACTAACTGCAGAAGGCTCTGATATACAAATAAATGTTAGAAAGTATTGTTGAAGGTAGATGATATTGATAATGATGACTTTCGGTACGGATAGGCTTCAGTATTTCTTGGAGATTTGCCGTTAAAATGCACGTGTATTAATATGTCCAGATTTAACAGTAACACTCATTTTGTTGACTATCATGACATGATTTTAGTAGGTTGTTCAGTTATGAGAAGCATTTGTTCAGCCGTGAACATTCTGTTCACATAACGACTTATGAAATGAAAGCATTCCTCTAATCTGTGTTGAAACCAGGAGAATTATTCCAGTGATATCTGACTGAGTGTTTACAACAGGCATTGTGGATTAAATACATTTTCAATGTCTTATGAATTCTATTGAAATACTGATATTTCTTGTGTATTTCGTGATCAACTCATAAATGAACCACGGTTTCTTTCAAGGTGTTCATGTCTAACCACATTTTATAATGTAATTTTGAGTAGGGATGAGCTGAAGTATTTATTTTCATGAATGTACACCTAAAGAATTAACTGTTCCCTTATTATATTACTATTTGTCCCTTGGGTTGCTAGTGGAACATAGGGCTTCAGTAGCACGTCTCCAGTGCACTCTATTCTCTGCAGACTTTCGAACCTAGTTCCACGACAGCCAACAATCTCTCATTTCTTCCCCCCACACCATCTCTTCCATGTCACGCTTGCATGCTCAACTCATCGTTCCCATCTGGGTTCCACTCGAACAACTGGCCTGGCACGTGATGTCTTAGTCGGCCTTCTCAGTGTATACCCAATCCAATCCATCTACACTCCTTTACAGTGCATATTTGTTGGGCGATAACTTCTTGGTTGATTCGTTGCAAGCCAGAGTTCCTTGTTGCCTATTTCTATTATTCTGGCCATCCGATCTTCAGTAACGAGGCAGCATAGGCAGTTGTTGATGAATGTGTGTAGTTTGTTGGAAATGCTTTTCGTGACACGCCACGTTTCTCAACCATATAGCAGCACTGACTTGACGTTGGTGTTCCCTTAGTACTCAGTACTTAGGGAGACAAACAACTAACCCTTGTTCATTTATCCTCTCAATACTAGAAAAGACTATATTACTCCTTTATTTAAAACAAACATCATCACTTCTAAATATCTGCTTCAATTTCCTCATCGAAAATACTAAGCTTCTGCTAAGTGATACTGTCCTCACTACGACGCGGACCTAAAACTGATTACTTCAAACACCAGAGAGTTTTCTATTAGGAGGATCAGTTATGACAACTATTCCTTGTGAGACGAATATAGTATAGTTTAGATATATAGTTTGTAATCTGTCTGGTTGCAAAACGCACACAGAATAAATCATTTCCAGTATAATAAGGAGAGTAAGGAACACTTTTAACAAGTAATGAAGTAGATTTACAAGATTTACAATTTAGTATTCCCTTAAAACCTTAACAGTTGGAATAAATACAAAGATAAATGAATGATTCATTACCTGAAACGCTGATATATTCTGTTTAATTGGTAGAAATATTAGATTTTATTAACTCTTGTGCATGATTTGATTTGAGGACTACAATTTCGAAGAAAGACGGTTGAATAGATAATTAAAAGATGATCTTTCTTATCATTGAACAAGCGTGTATATCATTCTCCCTGAAAAGGGAAATACTCAAACAAAAACATACAAACTATGTCCATCACACAAAGAGTGACCAACATGAATCACTTGTCTAATAGATAACGTCTTAGTGTTTGATGTAATCACTTCTAGGTTTGAATCTTAGTGGTAACAACATCACTCAATGAGAGGTAAGTGTATTCAGTTGAAGAGTCAGAAATTGCACGAAATAAATACACTTTATGGATTCAACTTCCAACTATTATCTTTCATTGTTATTCAAGCACACGTTTATCAAATATCGAAAATAAACTAAGTAGAAATTATTCATACTTCTTCATTGCTTAACGACAATAATGAAATATGCATGAGAGTGGGAAACTGATGACAAATCTTGTCATATTGATGTTATATGCTAATAAAACTTTTCCCTGTTGATTTATGTCACATACAAAGTTTAAATTTAACATGGTACTGGTTTTCAATTTTTCTATTGAAATGGAAAAATATATTTATAACGTAATTTGTTACAATTTAGCTATAATACCGCCAAAATTACTTGTAATTTGAGCAATAATATTTCTATAGTACTCAAATAAATAAGAAGGAGGAATTGTTTTTAACTCAGAAGGAAATTTATGTATATCGAAAAAAGGTGACTTTTCAATTCGTTCATCTTCATTCCACTATTGATACAAGCTATTGTAATAAATTTCTTTCATTAACACGATCTTCAAAAGTTGCTACTCATAGTTGTACTCACTACTACTAATATGTAGAAAAGATAAAAGTGAAGATATTTACTCGAAAAATCTAATAGCCAATAAGTTTAGGTTAACTGACACCAGAGAAAGGAATTAATGAATGCGATGATGGTATGCAGTTTATCGAATGATTGATTGCTTGAAAATGAAGTAATATTGTTAATGAAACGCTTATATTTTATAGTTTTACAAGCTGAAACTATCGAATCAATCTTTCATATTTATGCAGAAAGAAGAAGTAAACTTGAAACACTGTTGCTTTAAGTCCAATGGAACAGCACTGTTATACTCTGAAAGCTTAACAACGAAGAGAATCCATAATTAAAACTAAAGCTGACAAAGTTAACATTAGACTAACACCAAAGATTGCGATGTGAAGACACTGAAGTATTTTGAATGAAACTATTTCACGTTAGTATTCATCTGGGACTGACAACATTTGGAGGTATATTGGGAACCTGGAACAGCTGTTTCCTCCTAGTAAATGACTTCCAACCAGTGCATATCTATCAACCCACCAGAGGTCATACACAGGACCTCCAGCATCCATAGCTAGCACGTTAGTATTCAGCCACTCGGTTAGAATCGAATAGTCTATATTCCTAATCCTGTCAGTTCACGGTATAGCACGACCTCCATCCAATGCCTTTTTGAGTAATGTTCCTCATATTCGACTTCGTTGGCCACACTGGCAAAGACTTCTCATTGGAAATCCAGGAATCAACCTCTCGATGTTCGTGTTATACCGTGAACCGAGGGGAGTAGGAAATGTAAAGCATTAGATTCCGACCCATTGGCTGGGTGGTAGGATGCTGGCCACATGAATTGAATGTCATGACTTTGATCTCTACTGAGGTCATGGATGCACACCGGTTACGAGGCCCATACTCAACTGTCCAGTACTCCCAGGTTTCCAATGTGTCTCCAACTGATATCAGTCCTTGATGAATACCAACCTGAAATCAATAAATCCCCACAAACCTCAGAATCAAAACCTGTTTCAACTGAAACTGGTAGGTGAAATAAAACGAAAGCTGGAACATGCAGTTTACTCAGGGAACTACAAGTGAAACTACCAGTGCCAACGTGGTTAGCATCAGAAACAAAAGTAACTCTGTTGTAGAATTTTATGGCAGATCAAACGTCCGCCAACCGAATATCCTCTTACACCATCACAATATGAAATCCCTGTAAACATTAAAAAAACCCAGAAAAATGTAACTCCATTACAGAAGATGAAACTATTTAAAGCCTTGTTGCAATCTCTGTTTCTCAAAGGATTCCAACAAATGATTAACTTGAGGTTGTAAAAAGTGTCCGTTGTAACCACCATGTTTTATGCATGACATGTTAGCTGTCAATACAAAATATTACAAAATCCTTGAAATGATGATGCTGACACTTTGAACACTCTATATCTACAGACAAATTATACCACCAGACAAACGAGATTGCAGTGCTATCATAAGAATCTACAATTTCGTCTAGTCTGTAGACAAAGGCACTAGTAGAGACAGCACTAAGTAGGGCTCACTGTCAACCTAGATACCTAAATCATACATCTGTCGACACTTAGAAAGCGTAATACAAATGCTTCCCACAATGCATAAACTCTGTTCTCAATCTGTATAAAAATTCACTAACAAAACCAAATCAACTTACTATTCAGACAT